AAACAACTAAATTCAGTAAATCAATAGCAAAGAGATGCTTTACATATTCACTGAGTACGCACATATGTGATCAAAAATACAACACTGTTACATGGCTTTATACAAATGTCAACTACAAAACCAGAGAACAGTAAAAATTCAAACATCCCTTGTCTAAGGTGAACTGTCTAGGTGGCTAAAAAGAGACCTCCTATAAAATACCTGCCAATAAATGTCTGATAGGTCATAGGCAGGAATGATTTTCTTTGGTAATTGTGGGTGGGTGGATATTCACCCCTATGCCTAAGAAGTGCAGGCAGCACTTACATTGTGATTTGAACACAACAGTTTTGTACTGCATCTCCACAGAAGGGTGCATTTCACTTTCTGAATGACCACTACAGAACCTTGAGTAAGCAAGTGTGGCCAGTGTCCTGATTAGCTGTTCCAGGGCTACTAGCCACGACCAGCCTCAGAAGAAATAAAAGCTCGACCCAGATTTGAGAAGGAGTCACAAGAAGAATTTCACGAGACATGGTTTTGTAGCTAACTCACAACTTGGCCTCTGGAGATAGCTTCTGTTTCCAGCTTTGTCAAGGACAATGCATGATTTGGCTGGACCAGTTGACCTCTCCCTGTCTCGCTTTGCCCAGAGCAGAGTAAAGATTAATGCATCTATATTAGGGTACTTTGGACTGAAGGTGCCATTTATGGTTTCCCCATTTCGCAGATTAACAAACTCCAATGAGAGAAGTTGCAATTTGCTCACAGTCACTAAGATTCTGTGAAGTTAAGAACTGAACCCAAGAGTCCTGGATCCCAGTCCCATGGTCTTAACAACTTGAGCACACTTTCACGAAGATTTCATGGTGCAACTGTACAATTCTTACACTAAATATGGGTATTTCTATAAGGCTCTTAAATGATATGCAAAAGAAAAGGTGACTCAGGAATTTATCTTAGAAAAAACTCTACTTCTAATGTTTTGTAATTATTAATACTTTTTTTTTTATTTGATAGTCTAAGTTTTCAGCCCTCAGGTGTCAACCTTGACACACCTTTGTGAGAGCTGGCTTTTAAGGGAAAGAAGGTGCTTGTCTTTCCAATATTTTTCTCTCAAAAAAGGCAGCTCAGTCATGTGTAATTTGGGCACATCAACCAGAATTAGCAGGCAAGTTAAGAGATTTAATACGGCTTCAGGGCTATTAAAAAACTCCAATAAAACAAAATAAGAAGGGTGATGATAGAGAATCTTTTTGTCATTTGTCTATATCAAGTGGGAACTCCCATAGCATCGGTTATCCAGGGGGGTGTTTAAAACCTGTTTAAAGGGGGCAGAAAAAGTCATAAACACAGGTAATCTGGCAGGCCTCTTTTCTTCACCTGTCTAGTGGTAAATTCTCTGTAGACACTGACTTTTCAGAGATAAATTTACAAGCAATTAAACTGTCGATCCTAAAAGGGATGACAGAATCCTGTTAAGCAAAATGTGGGAGGCATCAGGGCTGTGGGAAACCAAGACCCTTGAGATCATCTGAAGGTAAAAGATGTAAGAAATGGCATGGCATGAGGGCTTCCGACTAGTTGCAATGTGTTTGACAAGAGGAAACTCAACATTATCAGACTCAGAACACCTGGTACTTGGGATGCAATTATTTGCAGTGAGTGTACAGCTAATGCACCAGAAAAGAACACTGCCTGGGTTCATGGTCCATAGGCAAGGCTTTGAATGCACCGATTCACATAGGGCAAAAGTCAACTTAAGCCTTCAGTTAAAATTCTTTCAGCCAGTTTCTAATCTCTTCCCTTTGGCCTCTGAACTACCCACTTCCCATCAGGTCAGGAACCACCATATAGTATGAGAAAGCTTGTTCTAGCAGCATTTGCAGAAATGCAACACCAGAAGTATGACTGGGCACTGACTTGCTCCAAGCCGTACAGTGTATCAATGGTAAAACATGGAGCTCTTCCAATCATCAGCCAAGTAGGACCCAGGCATCTTTGAGCCAAATAAAGGTGTGCTCTGACATGAAGAAACATCTGTCCTCCTTTTCATAAGACCTAGGTATTATTGTTCCCTTCACATCTTAACAGCACCTTCTCTCTGTCCTCAGATTTCTGCCTCGAGAACTTTGCTGCATCTTTCTGGGCTTCTGCCATAGCATCAGAGAGGCTGGGGATAAAGCAATTCCTGGGCTGACAGATCTTGGTGGTGCACATGGCCTAGCTTAATTTCATTGAAAACCTGACAGGCACTGAGTATGATTTATAGAGATTGAAAGCCCTGCAATTAAAAGCTGAAGATCCTTCCCAAATGGGGAGAATTTTTCCTTTGGGTTAAGTGAATTGTCCGGTGCATCAGAAGATGTTACCCTGCTCCAGAGACTGTCAGGAAGCATTTGAAATTCATCAAGCTCTGCTCCAGTTGCTGTCATCTTTGCTCATTTCTCTTGTCCTCCTCAGTTAAGACCATCAAGGCAGCGAGTTAACAGCAACATGACAGGTGGCTTGTGTGGCACGCTCCTGCTGGGCAGACCACGGGGAGTACCTTTATTAAGCTAAATTTGCATATTTGTTCAACTCCTCTTTATTTCCTCGTGGTCATTATGCAGAAAAATACTTTGTAGCACTAGTCATGCCAAGCAGGTGGAGAAACAGTTTTCCCATCTCGTGATCATTCCCGAGTCAAAACCAAATAGTCCTGTCCAAAGAGAAACCACATTTTTTTCCCTTCCATTTCAAAACTGTCAAATTTGGACGTTTGACCATTTTGAATTTTTTCCAGAAATTCGATGCAAGAATTGACCACAATTACCTCCTTCCTGTGAAAAGCTTCAATTTTGCTTCAGCAAGAAAGCCCTGCCTGGCTCCCATCACAACACTAGCTCTGACTTGCCTGCTGGTAATGGATGGAGCTTCTTCTCTTGGGTGAAACATGGAAGCTGTTTAACAATGCTCAGCAACACACTGCAAAAGCAGAGGCCAAAAAATGCATAAAAATTCCTTGTTATATTGAATGTCTATAATGCAGGAGGTAATGAGCTAAGTTGGAATGTGGCCTAGACACTGAAGGATTTTTAATGGCAAGTGGTCTGCACATCAATTTTAGCAGTCACCCAAGAGATTGTTAATTTATGGATAACTTTTTGTGAGCTGTTCAATGATTATGTTCCCTTGGGAAAGTGATGCAGTAACTGATACAAAAAGACTTTGCTGCAGTAATAAATACATGCAGCAATGAAAGCTTTGGCTTTATTTACTTTTCATGGGATCATAGGAAAGTCGGGCTGGAAGGGACCCCCTGAGGTCACATAGTCCAGCCGCCTGCTCACGGCATAAGCCTCCCTGACTAAACTATCCAACCATCTTCTAAAAAGTGACATTTCTGCAGTGCATTGAAATAATATCTATCCAGTAACTCTAAGCAAACCAGACTTCTGCTGTAAATAGGTTTCCACAGCTGTTGTTTTGAGGAACAGCATACTAGACCCCTTTTTCTATATAAGCTGCACCCTTTTCTTGCATCACTACTGAGGTGAGATAAACCCACAGTCACGCATGCTGAAATCTGTCAGACCACCCTGCATTCTAGCTTTGTAATATTTCTCTATTTTTACAATAGCTCTCCTGACCAACTTGTCATGTCAGAAGCCTGAGTCAGTTAAAAATGCAGTGAGCAGAGGAAGCAAACACAAGACAATCAACTGAGAAAGCAAGCCACAGACCATGGCCAAATTTGCTTCAGTTTCCTCAGGGTTGCTGGAATCCAGATTTCTTTCATCATGAAAGAGGCTGAACAGACCATGGTTTTGCACAATTCAAGAATGTCTTGTATCACACATGAACAGGCACCCTTTTTTCTTTGGGAGTAAATAAATACAAATGCAAGCACCTACTCTGGATACCTCTAAGAAATCCTTGGATGCTATCTTGCTGGGGTGACCTGACCCCAGCTGACTTCCTGCCTCTGGGGCAGGGGGCTGAACCCAATGATCTAGTGAGGTCCTGTCCAGCCCTAATGTCTACGAAATCTATGAAATAGAAAATCATAATCATTTTGCAATCCTTTAAACTATCCCGGGCTACTCAGTGTCAGATGTGACTGGTGATAAAAGTCTTCCCCCACAAAAGCATTCCAGCAAGAGGCTGATGTGCTTAGAACATTTTATCTCATCGCACCTTAACTCTCCCTGGATGAGAGATTTCCCTTTTCTATCACTGTATAGACTGAGTATTTACTTTCAAACAGTGCAGGATAAAAAAAAATGAGAGTAGGCTCAGAAACAGATTTGTGGCATTTTACAAGAGACAGAAACTGAATACAAACCACTTCTGGCATCACAAAGCATGATGTCCGACTGATAGGGTTTTGCAAAACCAGAGCTACATCAGATCTCGTCCATTTTGGGGATTATTGGAACAATAAGTATGTGCCAGGAAAATACAGCCTGAGGTCACAGGTTCTCTCTAGAAGATGGAACACACTTGCCCTCTCTCAGCCTTTATTCCTGGAAACCCACAGATGCAGCAGCCTGCTTTCGAGTCAAGAGAACTGAATTTGCTTCCAACAGTTGGATCCAGCGGCATCCATTCCCACTCAGGAGTGAATGCAACATGATTGCTCTGAAACACTCACTCACTCACTCCCCCTCCCTTCCCTCCCAGTGTTCAATTTTTAACTGGGTTACAACAAGATATGTATTGCAATACTTTCTTGGAAAGTAAAACAGGCTCAGTTTGCCCATGTCTTTTCATGCCAAGCATTCCTACATTGTATGGCACTCATCTGAAGAAGCTCCGAAAGCCAAGCCGATTCTAAACCAATTCCCAAAGTAGGTGGCAACTGTGCTTCCTCTTATGCTTTCTTCAGAGGAAGAGGGTGACAAAGTGTTGACAACATTTTGAAACGTAAGTAAAACAGGTTCCCTTTTCTTTGCATACCTCAGCAAACATGACTGGAAGAGCCGCCCACAGGCGGCAAGTCCGAAGAACAATGACCGTGACCAAGAGTTCTCACGTACCTGTGGAACCAGCAAGGAAAGTACTATCCCAAAAGTGGCTTCGAAGTTGTCCTTAAACCAGAGGCCAACTGCATGGATGCAGCCCCGCACATGGATGATGTCTACCAACTCCAGTCGCTGCAAGCAGAACAAAATCAAACATAAGATATGGCAATCCCAACATATACCACCCAAACCCACAGAGTGTTTTTCTGTCTCTTGTACTGCCAAGAGCCAAGAGGAAGAAGAACTAGGAAAGCTGGGCATTAGTCAGTAATGGTCCAGTGTAAAATTACAGCTGGGAAACAAGACTCACAGGATACAGCAAGTTTAATTTGGCTTCTCAGGTCCAAGTTTCAGCCTGAAAGTCATTCTTGGATGCCAGTCTGGTTTGCCACGTAGGAGGAAGGGATACTAGCTCCTGAATATTCCTCCAGAAGGAATATAAAGTCAACAGATCACTTCAAAGCAAGAATTCACTCAGTCTCTCTACCTTCGACAGGAAGGGATTTCTCTAGCTGCCATACTGGGGGATGATGGTGAAACCTACTGGCCCAGTTCTAATGTGAACTACTGACACCAGGAATCCTGGTTTTTTCCTCCTGGGCAGGCAGCTTTTAAAGGGAATAGTTAATCCATGCTCTCTGCATTTCAAGCTGATGCAGATTTACAAGTAAAGGGAGGGGTGAGAAACAGAAGGGCCTGTTTTGTGCAGAGAAATACAAGCGATTCATAAGGAGAGTCCTGCAGAGCTTGGGAGTCTGTTTGAGCTTCTCATACAACTGCTGGGCTTCGAGTGCAGTTACTGAAGTATAAAGCTTCATAAACTGCCCACAAAAACAAAGTCAGAGTTAACACAACAAAGCAAACCCTACTTACTGCTGTCAGGCTCTAATAAGCACAAGACTTGACACTCCCATTCATTCAGCCAGGAAAGAAATACCAAAAATACTGAGATCCACTCAGGCACTCTCTAGTCTGCCAGGCTGTATTGCAGTAACATGCAGCAGCCACAGCTGATGTCAGACCCAGAGCTGGCCCCAGGCACTTAAATTCCCAGTTCATGCAGATTCACACCTTATAGACTAACTAAATTAAAGAGAGAGAGAGAGGAAGAGAGAGAAGCTTTCACAGACAGTCCAACATTAAATCTAACATGGAAAGGAAAAGGAAATTTTAAAGTTTCTCATGGAAATTCTGAATGTCTTTTAGGAAAGACCCGAACCACATTTTGGCTTGGCTCTTTGGAAGCAGGGAGTCTGGATTTGCAAAGGACCAGGGATTCTGGCTAGAAAGCAGTAGCACCAATGTTGCCAAATGGTCATTTTTGTCCCTGAAGACCCTAACTGGTCATTCCTGATCCTTTGGAGATTAAGGTGGAATTTTTCTCGTGTGAAGGCAGCTTGCTGACTGTACTGCAGCACTCCCACTTCCTTGACAGAGAAACAAACCTAGGCCAGATCAACTGAGGCAGGCTGGAGGGTGAAGAATCAGCTGGTGTTTGTTTCTGGTTCTTCATCCACCCGTCCTTAATGCTCAAAACTCCTCAACAGAAAACTGAGCACTAACAGTACTGCTTTCTTGGTGGGAGAAGAGGAAAATCAAGCTGATTCTGCTGCTGAAGGTCCATGCAATGGCTCTATCTAATATTAAATGATAATGTATTGCCATTCTATAGCACCTTTCATTTGTTGACCAGCCATCAAAACCATTACCTCATGGATCATTTCAGAATGCAAGAAGAGGCAGGAAGCCAGAAAGAGTCGGCGTTCTTAAAAAGGGGGTGGGTATCAGTATGTAGCTTATCACCGCCTACACCCAAAGACTTTTAAACCCTGTTCTCCTCTAAATTCTCTAACCTCTCAGTCAGGTCCAAAGTCTCCTGAGGAGCTAGGACCCAGCTACAAACTTTGGGGTCTCTTTCCTTCCTGATACCCTTTAACATCTTTCCCTGGATCTGTTTCCCCTCTCAGCACTCCTTCAGCATCCCAGCTTTCCTCTCCCCCCACTCCCAGCAGACTCTGTGAGGATTGTATAAATGGAGCCAGAGGCATGGATTTGTGGGAGTTCCAAGTGTGACAACTTACATTTTAGCTATTCTGGGACTTCTTTATTGTCAGTTCAAGGGCCAGCAAGTCAACCGGCAAATACATTTGGCAACTCTTTCCTTTGCACCTACATTGCATAAAGTGTTAAAATGATGGCAAATCCTGAAGTGCCGCAGAGAATCCTTCTCCTTTCCTTGGGAACCTAAAATATTACAGCATTAGAAGCATTAGTGTTATCACTTGGGGTTTTTTGGCTGTGGTTAACAGAAGGGTTTTTTGTGAGCTCTCTGTAAGTGTGTCACTGTGTACAGAACTCCTTCTGCCTTAAATGGGCTCATCCATCTAGTAAAACCTGGGAAGGAAATAAAGAGACAATGGACTTAATAAATGCTAAAATGGAATAGCTTGGCTGTAATTTAACTGGCCTTGATAGAATTTGTGCAGTGCTGTAGCAGCGGAATGCATCAAAGTAAATTATAGCTATTGACCTTTTATGAAGACAAGGGAGGCCTATTAAAATGACCTATGATAGCAAAGACGACTCTTGAGTCAGCAGCTGTATTTTACCTTGTCTACCTGCAATGGGCTTGTGGCGCTGCAGTTCCTTTTCTTTAGTCCCACTGAGAGAACACACAAGCTGTATTTTGATGTCTCTGGATTTTAAGAATGCACTACATGGAAAGCATCCAGGATGGGGGGGGATCCATAAAGAGTCAGGGGATGAGCCTGGGATCTCTGGATCTAGACCCATGAGCCAACCCAGTCAGAGTTAACACACAGGTTTCAGAGCTCAGAGCCTATACAGAACAAGCTGCCAGAGGAGGGGAGATAGTTATACTATGCAGGAATGTAAAATCCCTTGCTGAAGTCAGAGAAAGAAACACCTTGAGCCCCTAAATTCTAGTGCACTATAACTTACTAGCGGGAATCATTCTAGTTGCTGTTACCTGGAGACAATGCTGACACACATTGCTATGCATTGATACACACTGCTATGCACACATAACGTTGCTATACAATGCTATTAACCTCTCTCCAGAAGAAGCAGGTGTAACGATTGCTTGTCATACTGATACCTTATTCTAAGAAAACACCCATTTCCAGCAACAGGCCTATTTCACACTCAACAAGTTGTTTCCTTGAAATGCCTTCATATTTCATCATGCCACTTCCTTCATACAGCAGCAAAACCCAGGGTGGCCGACAGCTTGATGCCAAGTTCCTGACAGAGCGGAGGCCTTTTTTGTCACCTTCCGTTTGTCACCCTCTCGATTAGGAGTCCCGGGAACAGCTGTGTCTTTGGTCTACTTGTGAGAGCCATTTTGCCATTGGTAAGAGGGCCACAGATACCTGACTCTTGCGAGATAGGGAAGTATTATCCTCATTCTCCAGATGTGTAAATCAGGCACAGAACAGGGAAGAGACTTGCCCAGGGGTCACACAGCCCTAGCTCTGCTGCTCAGTGCTGGGATCTGACCATAAGGGATCTCTCCTTCGCTTCCAGCTCTCTGATACTTCCAGGAGAGGTGCTAGTGGACTGCCAAGGCATGTTTTTGTTTAGCATCTTCCTAAAAGATGTCCCTCTGGTGCATTTAAGCATGTCTGATACCCAGGCTGCAAATGCTTTGGAGCTGGCTTGTCTAATCTTTGGGACAATGGAGCCCTGACTGGGGCAACTACATGCTACTTCAGTAAAATGAATAAAGTAAAATAAAGTAAAACCTGCACCATGCAATAAACATACAATAAACACACTAGAACTGGGCACGACTACTGTTGTTTCCCCAACAGCATCAGCAACAGGAAAAGATTCCTGTGGGCAGAACAATTTAGGCCTGAACTGGTGGGAGCCATCTGAGGTGCTGTCAACTATGGAGTACAATATTTGTAGACTGATTATCAAGGTTAAAAGCAGCCTCTCATCACCATACTGCAGGTCAGCTGCAAAGGGAAAAGCTATACAGATTTCCCTCGCTTTATGAGGGTTCTGTGTGTGTGAATTCATGCTTACGCGATGACCCTTTTTATACCAAAAATTCATTATATGCAAGGTAAATTCACTCTTGTGTGATCGGTGTGGTGGTAACCTGTAGTCAGCTACTTTGTCCGGTGCATTGTGGGAGTGACACGCATAAAATATGGTCTCCTGTGTGGATCTGTGCTCCTCGCTCGTTGTCTGCGACATGTGTTTCTGTGGTTGCCGTCGCCATCATGGTAACATTCACCACCACCCTGTGCTTGTGCATACTGTCTGCCATGGGTGAGTACCAAAACTGCCTTGTGAAAGTGGTAGACATGGGTCTGGGGGTCAGCACGGTCGAGGTCCTGGAACATATCCTTATTTGTGACATTGTAAAGTGGGTTGCCTTTATGTGAATTCGAGTTATGTGTCGTTTTCCAGGTATGCATGCACACCATAAAGTGAGGGAAACCTGTACTAGTGACAGCTATGCAGTCAGATCGCTGTAGGTGATGTTCCCTTGGCAATCCTTGCTGGGAGGCCAGAAAGGAAATGTGTGTCAGATGAAACAGGGTTACAAGAAAACACCACACCACAAAGAAGGTATGTATGGAGTGATGGTACGCCACCCACATGACCACCACTGAGAAGATAACATGACTTCCAAGCCTCTGCAGTGAAAGCCATTCAGAGACCAGATGCAACCTCACTCCCCAACATGCAGGACCCATGCTCTTTCCTTTAGCTGCTTGCCACGGCTGTCTGGCAGGATGCAATGCACCCTCCTCATTTCTTTAATTATCATATTTGTCATGTACGTGATCAGCGGGTGACAACAAGTTGACAGGTTTAATGATGTTCCTAAGCTGTGTACATAAGATCCCATTTGCTGTGGACATGTTTATTTTCAGAGGCATTTCGCTCACAAATCTGCCCAGCCAGGCAGCTGCAATTGATACATCAAGCAGCCTTCGTAAAGGAGTGCTCTGCATTCCAGCCGTCTAATTCTTGCTATTTGCCTAGAAGCTTTTTAACTTTATTATCCCCAAATGAGTAGTGTGTGGGTGGAAAAGGTTCTGGGTGAACTCCCTTATTACAAAGCTGCTAAGGAGCACTGAACAGCATCTGCATTTGTATTTATAGCACCAGCTTTGGCATGAGCCTCCATTGTTTGTTTTAAGAAGTCGTGAAAATTTTCCATTCCCCTGAGTTAAACAAACACTGTCACTGTGCCAAGAGCTTGTTGTTACGTACAGAAATATGTGTCCAAGCAGGGCAAGGCATGAATGGGTTTGTCCTGCTGCGGCAGAGATGGTGTAGGGGTAGAGAGAGCCTGGTCTAGCTGCATGGGTGCTAATTTCAGCAGGTTGAAATCACATCTCTGGCTTTACTACATTTGTTCTGCATAGTTTCCTCACTGAAGGCAAGACCTTAACAATGTCCAAGGCCGATGTCCAAGGCTGATCGCAAGATCTGGCAACATTTTCTGTTAGAGCAGAGCCTGGGTCTAGCATTGGCGATGACAATGTTTTATGCCTTTCACATTGGGAGCTGGGATATTTTTGACCCTTTGTACAGCCCCTTGTACAAGAAACTCCTGCTGTTAGAAAAGCTGCTGGGAGCTACCCGCATTGTAGACAAGGACTGGACCCCTGTCCAGACTAGCCCTGTCCAGACTAGCCAGACTAGCTAGTCTGGACCCCTGTCCAGACTAGCACTCCACCAGCTACACAGGTCCCCCAAAAGTTCACACCACTAGGAGTTTGGCAGTCACTCAGACTGTTGGGAAGGGATTTATTCTCCGATGAAATTTTTCTTTGTGGGGAAAAAAAAACAATTACAGATCAGCTTATTCATAAAAGTACTGAAAAAAATTGCTCCAATTAAGCCTTCCTCAGCTAATCAGACATTTTAAAAAAAGCTGTTTTTATTAGATTGCTTTTTTTTTTGCATGCAAGGCATGACTGCAAGCGTAAGGACAATGACAGAAACAGCTCTCCTGCAGCAGGTGCCCCAATAGTTGATTAGACACACAATAAATGAATGAGGACAGAGGGCAACCCATAAAATAGGACATTAACCAACGAGCCTGCT